GGTTCTTATTCGTGTTCGACAATTTTTCTGCGTCAATAGCATATTGGTTCATTTTGCTTGGTATATAACAGGATACATTCCTAGTAACAATCAGTTTGATCATCTATTTATCAACGATTCCCTTTCTGAATAGAAAGAAGATTCTTCACCACGTAGTTCGTCCACGATCTTCAAAAATGTTGAGGTACTTATGACATATAGATTTTTGTTTTAGGAATTTGGTTAATACAAAATTTGCAAGTTTATTCATAACGATCTTCATAATAATCTTTTCATTCAGCGATTTTTCGTGCGATTATTTTAGAGTGATGTGAATACTTTGGGTGACCAAATACAATACGCGTGTCTTTGTTGGTAGAGTAAAATATTCATCGTTGAGCTCTTCAGCGAGGTTCTTCAGGAATCGTAGGAACGTACCAACTGGTACAGTAGGGTCACAATGATTTCTTAAATGCATTTATTTAGAACAATTCCATCGTTGCATTTTATTTTGATGCTTCGTAGAGTACGAGTTTAAAAGTCAAAGTCAATGTTGTTACATAGAATTCTTTCCACACGAGGCATTGCTATCTTCACGGGTACGTTGTTGCTTGATTTTAGAAAGAGGTTTTGACAATTTGTCATGGAGATACCATCTCCATTCGCGTGTAGACGTCTGACCACCGTCAATGGGTCAAAGTAGAGAACAATCAATGTAGTCAACGTACAGGTGTAGATTACAGATAAGCTTTAACGGTTCAGGAATATTAGCCATTCGTTTGTAACGATATTCAAACCCAACGTCTGTACGATCTCACACATTTGACAAGAAGTTTTAAGAGTTACTCCCTACGGTTCGTTAGCCTTTAACGCATTTCTCGAGCGAGTAAGTCGTTATCTCGGAACTCTCCATCATGCTATCTACATGCTTTAGTGATTTACTCTCAGAGACGTTTTCGCGTATCAAGTAATTAGTGTGGCGATGCGTTTCTCTCAGCATTCATCATCATCATGCAATCGATGTCATTTGCATTCTTTCGTGTCACGTTTTTCAGTTCTAAGGTATCAGTGATTATCGATATACGGTCTGGTCAGGTGTGCCCTAGTTCATCGTGCCCTAAGAGCGTGTCGTACGCCCTACCTTGTTTGTGTAAATCATGTGGTGTTATTTACGAGATTCTTCTCAACGATTCCTTTTGTTCAAGTCTATGTTGTGACACAAGTTCAGTCCTTCGAATAAAGTGTCTACGTGAGGTTGTGTCATGCACATTCATGGTGATGGGGAATAACCCCACGTCAGCCTAAGACTGACATCAGCATAAATTTCCTAAGTATCGGGCTTGGACATCTCTGCTCGGTCATCTTTGCTAAACTAATATTGTATGTGGATACCAATTTAGTAGCAACCTGGTTCGCTAATCTATTTATTCGGGTTATGCGGGTTGGGGTGTTACATTTTGGTATCAGAGCATATGGTTTTAAAATCGGTCTCCGGACCATTACAAAGTATTGTTTTGGAAATAAATAAGTGAAAGTAATATTATTTTAATAACTTTAACAATGGAAAAGAAAGTTATTTCCAAGTACTGCATCCGCATCCTTAACGTCATCTCTGCCTCCCAGGAAGATAATGAATTATTATCTTATTACTTAATGTTGTTTAGAACTAATTGCTCAGGTTGTTTGAACCGAGCTGAAGGCTCAAATAATAGTTTGGAGCTGATTGCCCGAATATTTATATGGAACTGATTGTTCGAATAGTTGTGCTGAGCTGATTGCTCAAATATTTGTATGAAGCTGATTGTTTGAATGTCGGTGTCAACTTGACTATTGGAATATCTGTGTTGAGCTGCAAATTGTTGATTACTGTGCATACTGAAATGCGATAGTCTAAGATAGGAATTCACATCCTGTAGATGGAACCTACTACTCTATGGTGAATGTTGGTATAAACTATGACAACGAGATACTAGGTAACAAAAGAAAAGAGTGTAACAATGTACACATAGTAAAATATCTTGTCTAATATTCGGTTACCTGAAGGGGCTGCAGACCTGGATGGATGAGGGAATCTTATTTTAGTGTCAAACGGGAATAACCGTATAAAGGTCAAGGAGAAGTCGTTTGATTAATAAAGAAAGTAGTATCTACTCCCAGCACATCATAGTGTAGTAATGTGGCTGGATACAAATCAAAAGAATGTAATGAATAATCTATCTGCTAAGGCATTATGTGCCAACATACCTTGCTGACAGGATGAACCGAATGAAGCGTACCGAAAAAAAATGATGTCGACACATGGAAATATGTTTGGCCGTTAGCAGACACAACGTTGAAGGGCTCCTGATCCGTTACAAAGTCTAGTTAGCAGGTACTAGTGACGCCGATATTGATAGTGGTGACGTTAGTAGAATGCCCCACTTACTCTCGTTAGTATGACTCAAAGAATTGTTGAGAAATAACTTTAATGAATCAAGAACGAATTAGTTTAATCTCGACTATGCCGTTTGAAGACTTTAGGTTACGACTCGCGAAGGGTGAACCTACTTCGAGGTCGACGAATGCACTTAATGTCGAATACGTTACTATTAATGTCATGTCAATAAGTTGAATGCCACCTGAAACTTGGGGACGAATCCCTGAATGTGCGCCAAGAACGTGAAGTTAAAATATCCCTACGTACCGCTTGAAAGGGGTAAAGCACGATAATGCTGAACACCGAGTTACATCGAGTACTCGGGCCAAGCACGACCCATCGAGGGTATGAAGCCGAAACAAACACGAACACAACAAATGTGTGCGACGCAACTGCACGTTGACACTCCATCCGAAATATGGAATTGATACCACGTGAACTACACAAGCTAGGGAGGGCGTATGATACACTCCCATGACAACTTTGGTACGCCGTACATCCGACGAGGCTATATATCGATAATTGCTGACGCTGCAGAACTGACAAACATGACATGAAAGAATACAAATGATGACAATGATCGTATGACGACGAGGAATGCTGACAATACAGTACCCACGAGTACGACACACGAACCGTTAGACGACAAGTACAAAATCTAAATAGGTAGTTGATATTCTGCGAGCCAATCAACGAATGGTACCGAGCGACTATGTGACATGGATAACATGTACGTGAATGACAGTCGCTACGACTTTTGATGAAGTACCTTGATTCGCATAACAAACTCGCAGATGATGGATGAATCACGACGAAACTTGTTCCGCAGGAAACAAGCCGACAACTAACTATCTGATGTGGGACAACCCTCGAATTTAATCATGAACGTATGTAGATCGTATAACGAAGGGGTCTCGAAAGACCCGCTCGAGAAATGCGTTAAAGACCGACGATCCTTAAGAGGAATCTCTTGAAACACCTTGCTGATTGTGTGATGGTACAAATGTTAGGTTTGAATATCGTGACAAACGAACAACTAATATTCCTAAACCGTTAAATTTTATCAGTAATATACACCTGCACGTTGATTATACGAACCGTTCTTCACTTTGACCCATTGGCGATGGTCAAACTTCTACACGTGAGTGGAGAGGGTATTTCCGTAACTAATTGACAAAACCTCTTACCAAAATCAAGTAATGACGTATCCATGAAGATAACGATGCCTTGTGTGGCAAGAATTTTGTGCAATAGCGTTGACTTTGACTTTTAAACTTGTACTCTGTGAAAAAGTTGACTAAAGCGTAGTGAAGAACGTATTCTAAATAAACACATCAAAGAAATCACCGTGACCCTACTGTACCAGTTGGTACATTCTTACGATTCCTGAAGAATCTTCCTGAAGATCTCAACGATGAGGATTTTACTCCACCAACAACGAAGACACGTGTACGCATGGACGAGAAGAAGGTGTTGTATCTTGTCACCTGAAGCATCTAAATCCCCTTTGAACGGATCACATGACAAATTGGTGAACGAACGGTGGTTATGAAGCTGTTATGAATGAATTTGCAAAACATCCTATTAACTGAGCTCTTAAGATGAAAATATGTAAGTCCTCATTACCTTGAAATTATTGAAAATCGTAGACGAACTACGTGGTGAAGAATCTTCTTTCTGTTCAGTAAGAGAGCTGTTGATAAATAGGCGATCAAATTAATTGTTACCAGGAATGTATGCTGTTATGGACCAAACAAAACGAAAAGATATGCTATTGACGTAGAAACATTGTCGAACATGAATAATAACCGAAAAATAATATGTGTTTGTGGGTATTAGTAGTTGACTTCACCCGAGAGCAATCCAAGTATGAATTGGCAATGCGGTGAAACTGACCATGACGTTATACTACAGGAATCGTGACGGGATAGCGCGATAGAGGAAAGAATAGCTTGAGATAGATTTACCCACAATCCTGCTAATCGTTGAAAAATCTAGGAAAAGATCTTATTCGGATACCATAAGCTAACAAAATGAATGAACTTCAAATACGAATCGAACGACTGACCAAATAACCGATGCTACGATATCTGCAAGCTAAAATACTTGTTTGTATGCACTATGGAGGTACTCCATTCATGTTCATTAAAATCAAACTCATAAAAGATCGAATTATGAATCCAACGAACTTGTCATATGTCTTGAACGAAACACGAATACAAGAGCCCTAAGATAATACCTCGAACAATAAATGAATAGAATTTCTGTGGGGATGGCATGGCCATTCACCTAACCACGATCGTAATGCGAATGTGAAACCAAATCTTTGAAGTTTGTACCTTAGAAGAATTTCGGGGAGGAAATTCCTTTAAGGGGGAAAGAAATGTAACGCCCTAGAAACCGGGATAGAAGTTAATATATAATTAAATAAATAAGAATTATTTATTTATGACAAATTATTCTTTTAAAGAATTAAAAGATATTTCATAGATTCTAATTGTCTCAATATAACGAAGCTAATCTGATTATATTGATAAGGGTTTGAATTAAAAGACTGATCAGTACCAATTAATTGAAGGAATTAAGACGGACCAAGTTGAACATACAAATGTTTGTCGTTTGATTATAAAAGTTATATCGTTGGGTTAGGGTTGATGAATCGAATCCAATGATACGAACGAATCTTAATTTGGAGCAAGTGGGTCCAAAAAGTGTGTTTTTACTCAGACACGTTATTTTAAGTTACAGACTGCACAACCCTAGTCTTATTCACGCGTCTCTTAATTCGATCGCTGCCCACCTCTTCTTCTTCTTCCTTCGATTCAGCAGCGCCTCCCTCTCCTTCGATTCACCGCACGCGAAGACACTGGCGACGAGGCAACAACGAGGGACGCTGACCATACCAACGCTGGCGACCATGGTGATGGCGATGAGCTCAGGCAGACGCGAGCACACAATCGACCTCTGCTCCGGCCACTGCTCTCTATTCCGGTGAACGACCCCAGCAACCCCGGCGACCACAGCCCGTGACCACGGCGACTCAGGGATTCGGCAGAGAGCATACCCGACCCGGTTCTCCGGCGGATCCCTCTCGATTTCCGGCGTTCCCAACGAGACCCAGCGATTCGCCAACGTCCACCCGACAGCGAGGAGCAATCCGGCAGCGGGTTGACCCGGTGGCGAACGAGAATTCCCTTACGGTGACGACTGGCACGGCGGTGGTCAGATTTGGGCAGTTCCGGGTAACAGCGGGTAGTCAAGCAACGAGCGAGATTACACCGACGTAGCACCCGAGCGACGTTATTTGGAATTGAATCAATCGAAACGAATCAAGGTGAGTACGTGGACATCTAACACTAGAATGTGCATAAATGTTTGAAATTCCGTTCATAGTTGTTATCATGATTGATTTTTGTGAATTACTTCGTTGAATTGCTTGATTGTGGTTTCGGGGATTATATTAATCGAAAAGGGTAGTGTGCATGATTAGGCGTTGATTACGAGTTAAAGTGCTTGATAATGTTAAGAACGTCAATATGAACCTATTGGTGTTTGTTGTTATGATATTGTCGTTGATTTGATGCTGAAAATAAAACAGGTAAGAAGTTGGAAAAATTATTTTGTCAGATGGTAGGCGGTACCGCCAGGACGGTACCGTGCTACCGTCATACTCTGTTTGTTCCATTCCCCTCTGACGGTAGCTGTGACCGCTCGGTACCTAGGTACCGGACGGACGGTAGGCCCTACCGCCCAGTCGGTAGTCAGCTACCGTGACAGCCCCACCGGAAGAGCCCAGATGGTTCCGACGGTACCCCAGTACCATAGGACCGGTACCCAGGTACCGTGAGGATGGTACCCCGTACCGTGAAGGCTTGGGTACCGTTTGGTACTTGATGCCACGTCTGTCGATATGTGTTTTCGTCAAGGATTGATTCCAAGATCTTATGTGTTGTATGATGGTAAGTTTGGGTATCAATACCCAATTCTAGGCCGCTATATGTTATGATTGTGATTGCTCTGTGTTGATCCAACACTTATGTGAACTAATATTATTATGGTGATCCAACATATGTGTGATTATGTGAGATACATATGGTTGGATATGATATTGCAAGTATGAGTGGGCTGATCCAGCACACAGCAAACAGGTACCGCGTGTTGATCCAACGCGTTTGGTAAGGTAAGTCTACCCAGAGGGAAACTTTGGGAGTGACATAAATATAGGAAATTAAGAGTATAAACCAGGTGGATGCCTGCTGGGCTCCAATGGTTAAGTCGAACCGGGTAAAAACGTACGTACGGGTATCCTTGAACTGCCTGGTGATCCATCAGGTGGGGATTCCACCCACCCAACGGAGAACTCCTTTGTTGGTTGAGCATGACCCGCTGATCTAGTGGGAATCCTCATGTCTCCCATACAGTAAAGTTATAGTCCTTAGGCTAGTGTAGAGTTCAAAAATAGACGAATGGTGATCCACCATTGCAAGATACACTCCGTTTGGCGAGGATGGAAAAGGGCAGGTGCCAGGTAAATTATATGATTAATTGTTTATGTGAACTGCGGTATTAAACCTATGTGCATGATATCATGTGGTGATTATGAATTAGTGGATTCGCATATGTGTATGTTCAAACTGTTAGATATTTCTCACTCAGCTTCGTTGCTGAGCGTGTAGCCTCTTTCCCCCCTTGTTACACGTAGGTAATCATGGAGGGGATAACCTTGAAGTACACCCTGGAGGGAAGCGTGACGAAGGAGATGTACGGATGCAAGGATTTCATAATGTTTGATTTAATTATAAAGCTTCCGCACTGTTTGTATGAACTCCGATATGTATTTGAATGGTTTTGTATTACTTAGTTTTAAATCAAATGTTTTTACTTATTGAAAAATATTGTATGTGGATACCAATTTAGTAGCAACCCGGTTCGCTAATCTATTTATTCGGGTTATGCGGGTTGGGGTGTTACACTCTCCCTTTTTGATGTTGACAAACAATATACTTCAAAGTGAGTTATGCGGGAGTAAAATAATGAAGCAAGTAAGCTCCCCCTAAGAATAAGCGTACTAAAAATACACACTTTGAACTTTTCTTGTGTTTATTAAAAGTTTAAATTTGATGCAAATAGTTACACAAGAATGCACTCAAGTCAAGTTGCATATGCACCACTTTGAAGTATACATCTTCTCCCTCTTTTGTCAAAATAAAAAAGGGTATTTTGAAAATTTTAACCATGTATAACTTCTTGAAACCCTCCCCTATCAAAATGAATTTTTAGGAAAAATGATAGTTTGGAGATCATTGGGCAAAAGGTGCATTTACAACTAAACTTCCCCTAAAAATGAAAACTCCCCTTAAATTATGCAAGTTTTTTAAAAACTTTATTTTTCAGGGATTTTTGGGGATTATTTTATAAAAGGCATGATTTAAAATGGATTTTGAAAATATTATTTAATCATGCAAACCAAGGCTAAAACAAATAAAAGCACGTATGGGATAAGGTTTTATTTTTTGAAAAGAATTAAAACCAAACAAAATATCTTATCCCAATGAGCAAGAGAAACTTACCTTGGCTTATGCCGTTCTTTTTTCGGCTTTGAGTATACTTCTTTCCTCTTCACATACTTCTTCCATTTGAGGAAATCCGTATACTTCATTCTCATTGCCTTCTCTTCATCTTCTTCATCATTTGACTCTTCCGTAGAGCTTGAGTCACTTGAATCATCACTTGATTCACTTGACTCTTCACTTTATAATTCTTTGGAAGCTTTGAATTATCTATTCCGTATTGAAATTTTGTTTAGAATTATGTGTGTGAAATTTGAATGTGTTGCCCCTGCTACTGCCTAAAAACAGAAAAAACAGAAAATGCTGGTGTTGTGATCAGGTTGTCTGCAACGGAAATTCTTGTTGCTGCGTTTTGTCGCCTGTTTGCGACGGACGTCCCCGTCGCTATTTCCGTCGCCGATCTGCGACGGTTTCAATACTTCCGTCGCAGATTTTTGGGGTGCAAAAGACGAAGGTACCCGTTGCAGGTCCGTGGCAGATCTGCCACGGAATCTTATTTCCGTCGCAGATTTTCAATCTGCCACAACTTTTCTGCGACGGAAAATATTCGTTGCAGTTCTGTCGCAGATTGCTAATCTGCCACGAAATTTCAAAATCTGCCACGGAAATTGTCCGTTGCAAATTGACAGTTTTCTTGTAGTGGAAGGCGTTTGTAAGTTTGGGATTTTCACGCATTTCTTCCTCTTTTATCTCTCTCAACAAAAGTTCGTGAGAATACAAGGAAGACCAAATGTGGGCGGTTTTGGCCGTATCACATTTGGGTAATGAGTCTACGATACTACTATGCCATTCTTTTGGTAAAGAAAATAGAATTTTCGTATTAAGCTCGAAAGTAGTATACGTCTTACCCAACTTACTTAACTTATTGACGATCTCATTGAACCTTTTGTTCATGTCTTGGATCGTCTCGCATGGCCCTTTCTTGAAAGATTCGTATTCGGAATTCCCAAGGGCAATCATCGTTTGCTTAGTTGAGACGTCGCCTTCATGAGTAGCTTGTAGCAAGTCCCATACCTCCTTGGCCGTTTTGCATGAGCATACTCGTGCAAATTCATCGGGGCCGAGAGAGCAATGGAGGATGTTGATTGCCTTTGCGTTCATTGATAACTTTCTCTTATCTTCCGACGATAATCCTGCAAAATCACCATTACTCGGCACAAACGGCCCGTGAAGTACATTCAACCATAAATCAAAATCAATAG